CCAATGCGGTTGTTGATCTGACGGAGATTGCTGACCGTATGATTCGCTCTGGCTACGAAAAGGAGTGTGTTCAAGTCTACAGCACCGTTCGTCGTGATGCTTTGGACGAGTGCTTGGCGATTCTTGGCGTCGAACGGCTCAGCATTGAGGAGGTTCAGAAAAGTGACTGGAAATTTTTGGATGAGAAGATGAAGAAATGGCTTCAGGCCGTCAAAATTACAGTTCGCGTGATTTTGGACGGCGAGAGGAGGCTCTGTGATCAGATTTTCAATGGCGCCAATGAATCCAAGGAGATTTGCTTTAACGAAACAGCAAAAGGGTGCGTAATGCAGCTGTTGAATTTTGGTGAGGCAGTAGCTATTGGGAAGAGGTCTCCGGAGAAGCTGTTCCGAATCTTGGATATGTATGATGCTTTGGCCAGCGTTTTGCCCGACTTGGAAGCCATGGTTTCCGACGAGTTTCTGATCAGTGAAGCTCATGGAGTGCTGTCTGGACTGGGAGAAGCAGCCACAGGGACATTTTCAGAGTTTGAGAATGCTATTCAGAGCGAAAATTCAAAGAAAGCAATGCAAAACGCCGAGATCCACCCTCTTATTCGATATGTAATGAATTATGTGAGATTACTGGTTGATTACAGTAAGACAATGAACTCTCTTTTAGAAGATGAGGAAGTACAGGACTTGCAGAATGATAACGATAACGAGGATAATTTGCAGCTGGAGAACACGTCGCCTTTAGCTCGTAGGTTGTTAATGTTGTTATCATCTTTGGAATCCAATCTTGTGGATAAATCAAAACTTTATGAGGATGTTGCTATGCAGTTCATATTTCTAATGAACAATATACTGTACATAGTGAAAAAAGTGAAAGATTCTGAGCTTGCACAGCTGCTCGGCAATAACTGGCTCCGCAGGCACAGCGGCCAAATTCGCCAATACGAAACGAGTTACCTTAGAGCCTCTTGGAGCAAAGTTTTGTCTTGCCTGAAGGATGAAGGGATTGGTGGGAGCACAAGTAGTGCCTCCAAGGTAGCTTTGAAGGAAAAGTTCAAGAATTTCAATGCAGGTTTTGAAGAAATCTGCAGGGTTCAGACAACTTGGAAGGTGTCTGATTCTCAACTGCGCGATGAGCTGATAATATCGGTTTCGGAGAAGGTGATTCCAGCGTATCGGTCCTTCTTGGGAAGGTTTAGAAATCAGTTAGAGAGCGGAAGGCATTCTGGGAAGTACATAAAGTACACGCCCGAGGACTTAGAGAACTCTCTATCAGACTTATTCGAAGGATCACCTGCTGTTTCACATCACATGAGAAGAAAGGGTACATAAAAGAAGTCCAGACTTAAAACTGTTTGATGGTGAGCTGTTGATCTTTTTTCTTCTTTCTTTTTTTTTGCTAATGTTATAGACACATGATATTGTGAAGGTTATGATCTTACTTACTTTTGTTCATACACTGTATAATACTTACCAATGTTGTATACATTAGATTGTGTATCTTAATTTGAGGTCAAGTAATATTATGGGCATAACTTCAAACCCCCTCCCCCGATCCCGCCACCATCCCCAACTAGCCAAAGTCTTTACAACTTACAAAGAAGAAGCAAGAGTCAAATCTGTAAAGTTGCTAGCTGCAAAATAATTCGAGTACTTTTGTTGGCAGGAAACTTCAATGTATCTTGGTTTCAGCCGATTGGGTTGCTGAATTATTATCGATCGTGGCTTTGCCACAAGATAGGTACGATGTAGCAACATGTGCAAGCAACCGTCAGATTGTCTGCTTCTAAACTAGTTTCTTCTTGGTCGTTTCAGGTCATCCACATAAATAAATTAGAAGAAAGTAACACCAAGTAAAGTAAATTTATTTTGACTGAAGTTGGTAAAAAGTAGAAAGGTTAATGGCCAAGAGTTGATGGTTTCTCCAGGGCAAGCTTAGCCATTAGTTTTTGTGTTGTGGTTTGAAATTGAAATGCAGTGACTGAGAGTTCCTTGTTACCTGGCTTGTGCTGGGGCCTCTGATTTTCACCCAACAACCGTCGAAAAATCCCCACTCCCATTAAGTTAAGGGAACAAGCGAGTGCATTCGGTTACACCACAGCTAGCTAGCTAATAAGGCAATTCATTTGGTCAGATGAAGCATCGGCTCAATTATTATTCAGTGACAGCTTATCCACAGTCCCATCAATTGATTTTGGAACGACGTTTACCTCTAGTTTCTTTCAATGTTCCTCCCAAAACTCTTGACTTCGATTGATAACGATATGTCGTTTGCTTTTTTGCATTCTATGTTCAATTTCAACTCTTCTACTTTTCCACGCTCTTTTTCTAATTATAACATAAAAACCATTCAAAGCTGGTTTCATCATTATTTTTTCCTTCATTTCAAACAACTTTTCCTTCTGGTTTTTTATGGGAGATGTCAAAAATAGATGGGGGAAAAATGTGTTGGGTACTGAGCAGGGAGAAACAATGTAAAAAGAGAAGTCAACGGTGAAACCCAAAATAAAAAGAAGTGTGTATGAAAGAGCAAGTTGCTTGGAGATTAAGGCCAACCAAAAATTTACAGAAAATGTGCCAAGGCCAGACGATAACTAATTACAGGTAAGTTGCCTATATTACAATCTGCATGTTCAATCCGTCCGATAAACCATCGGAGATCGAGGACAAAGAACGCACCGAAGGTAAAAACTAAATGAAGAGGCACAAAAGAAGTTAATCCTAAGTAAAATTGACCAGAACATCATGCTTGATGATAGCATTTCACGTTCAAACTCGACTGTTTTGAGGCAATGGCAGAACACCGTCAAAGAAATCGCCAAAGTAACCGCGGGGTTCGTGGACTAACCTTGAGATGATGTCTCTTAGAGTGATAACTCCTTCCAGATCACCGTCGTTGTTGACTACGTACACCCGATGGATCTTCTTCGAGTCGAGCAGCAAGATCAGTTCCTTTATTTTGTGATCCTTCTTGCACGTAATCATGCTGCTCAGCATTGGAGAGAACTCTGCATGCTTCTCTAAGTAGCTTTTAACCGCAGTCAGAAAGTTTCTCGCTGTTATCGATCTGTTGAAAAAAACAACAGCCTATGTTAATCGATAAATACAGATTCTTGTATCCGCAGAGTTCTTTGATATTGCACAAGATCACTTTAGTGCCAGCAAGTGGTGACTACCTCATACGTGAGTTAGCTACTACATTTTACGATTCGAAGTCATTTCTGTTTCGGGTTTTTTCTTAACCCGAGAATGGGAAAATTTCGCCCGCCAGTCAACTAAGGCAGAAACAGGATGAATATATTGATCACAAACCTGTAATCATGGTAGATTTCTGGTGCAGTGAGCAAAAAATGAATATCTCTTAAACTTATATTGCCTACTGCCCTGTTTCCACCCCGTTCAATAACAGGTACACCTCCAATCCGCTTCTTCCTCATAACTTTAAACGCCTGTAGCACGGGCTCGTCCTCGTACACCTGCGGTAAGGGAGGACGACATTGAAGAAAGATATATCGACAAACAGATTCGAACCAATTATATGAATTACTTGTACAATGAAGCATGACTATCGAAAAATAGACCGACGTTGTTTGTCTTGTTGGAATGTTCAAAAGAACACGAATTTACCTTGACAATAGAAGCCGGTGACATCATGGGAAGACCGAGCTCGGAAAGCGTCTTTGTTCCCCAACTTTCAAACCATTGAAGCCCTGCACATTCTGCTAACATGTGAATAACAGCTGATTGTGTGATAATGTTATCAATCTTCCCCTCCCCCAAGTCTACTACGGGTATGCTCTTCATTTTGTACTTTGAAAGCAACAAGAGCATTGTCAAGAAGGAATTCGATTTCTGCAAAGCAAGAAATGGGGCCCAACGGAACGATCCCGAGATGTCTCGCACCTGCACATCGAGAAGTTTAGATGAACGTCAAAGACACATTCATAAGCTAGAAGGCAAACAAAGCACTGAGAGGAAGCCATTCTTAATGTTGTTTCAGAATTCAGATATAATCTTGGAACGGAAATAGAACCTGCGTGTTCTTGTACAATTCAGAGGAAGTTAAGGATTCGAAAAAGCTCCCCGAGGTCGCCACAGCTGATTCCGGGCCCAGTACCTGGAGTTCCAAAGGAGATATCACCCCATTTGTTGCTGCAGCCATAGCACTTCCGTCACTAGGACTCCTCGGGGACGGAGGTTCGGACTGCAAGACAAATCGCGGTGTCTAAGATCTCTCAATGGTGCACAATAATCCACAAAATAGCTATATTGACCAAAAACATTAACAAAAGAATCCTTCCTTTCCCATATCATCAAAATGGATCAGCTTTTATCCCAACGCCTCAAATTCATAAGAAAACAATTTTATTCTTCAGTCTCTACATATACATTTATAGAAGTTGTGCTTCAAAAAGAAAGATGATTGATTGGCAAAATCCTAACCTGATGAAGAATCCAAACCGCAATTCCAGCAAACTCAACAATACCAATGTATCTATCAATCCAACTTGCATGATCAGGTGCATCGACGTCCACCACAGGCGCGCTGAGGATCTTATGTTGAGCCAGAATTTCAACAGCTTCAGCTAGACTGCTGTCCGATTTTATCTCAATTACTGAACAACACAAATCCAGATAAACACTTCAAACACATGCAACAAATAATCTTATTCCTCTAAAAAAAATTACTCAAGTTAACCGTCACAGCATGGCTAGCCTAATAACCGTTTGAAATACAGTTTCTCTCGAATAATTTCTCCAAATATTCAATCATAAATTCTTCGAACCTCTCCAATATTCTAGATTGTTATGTAAAACAAGAAGAAAAATGAAAACCCAAATCACATATTGGAACAAAAATACAAGAGAATAACAAATAAAGAAGGATATATACCTTGATCAAGAGGAGCGGGAGGGAAGGCGGAAACAGGGATGCCCTCAAAACAAGCATTAAGCTTCTCAGTGGGACTGAGCTGCGGCTCTTGAACGTCCCATAAATCTTCCACTTGCATCCCCACCTTCGCCTCTGGGCTTCTCGGGCTCTCCTCTGTCGCTGCCATTACCATCTTTGTTCTTTTCTTTTTTTTTTTGTTCCTCTCTCTCTCTTCTATGATAAGACTTTCTTTTTCTTTTTCGCTTTTCCAACTCTGGTTTTGAGAACTTTCACGATATTTTTTTGGATCGATGCCATAAATAAGTCCCAACTCAGTGAGGAACGCTACTGTCTGGTAGCGGGAGTTCTGATTCGGTGTTGTGTGTTTAATCCTGGCCGTTGAAGCTGCATACTTTGATGAGGGCTGACTTGATTGGACACGTGGGGATTCGGGTGCCAGATGATGCATGACACGTCATGGGGGTACACCGGTCAACAGAGATCTGCGCCCTTTACGTACAGCACGCTAATGCTTATCCGATTTGTCGGATCCCGCGATGGAAAAAATGGAAAAACCGCCTTTCTTCTTATCCTACATTTACTGCTGGCCATTGGTGGGCGATGCTAACGTGCGCCCCAGCGCACTTTGCGCATTGCTGCTTGTCTTGAGTCTTGGCTCTCATCTGATGATGTGGCATGGTCTCGTTGGCTCTGACTTGCAGACGTGGCGGCCACGGTCTGAATTCTCGCGAGCCGGTCGGATAGCACTGAAGTGATTGGGCTGGATTTGGGCAGGCCCAGCCCATATCTGTGATCCACGAATAAGGATGGTACAATTGAAGAGGGAAATTTTCAGATATTTGTTTATCCCGATTTTGATACTCATTTTAAATTACCTCCTACGGCTTATTTTTCATAAATTGTTTAGCAACCATTAAACTTTATACGTTTCCCGAGGTAAAAACAAAAGTAGATTACTAGTGACTTTTAACTAATTGAGGTTAAAGGTTTTGGAAGCCAATAGCTCATTATTATAGAACCATGTGAATAAAGGTTGGCTAGTTATTCTCATTAATCAATTATGAGTATTGAGATATATGTTATATTTAGAAATAAAATGGACAATTAAATGATAACTATTAATATAAAAGACTAAATGCTATTTTAGGAAAAGTAACCTAAAATCTACACATGCCCATTTAGTAAATATTTTATGTGAAATTAAGTTGGCTCAGTATTTGATACTTACCCTACGCTACATTCATTTATATATTTTTCATTTTTCCATTGCTTGTTTTAAAGAGTATTTACGGGGACCAAAATAAAGAACAACGTATTATTAACATAGAAGTTTGTATATATAAAGTCTAAAAATAGAAGAAATATGGAAGAAGTTTGGTTTTTTAAAAAGAATAATTAAGGCATAATTGAATAAACGATAGCAAAGCAAGCTGTTGAGAATGGTGGAAAAATATTTAAATTTTTATATGTAACTTTCAATTCGAAATATCAATTGATGTTTGCTTAACAACAAACGTTTAGGATTTTTTTTTTCAATTTAGCCTATTATTTATAAGGGAGAAATAAATTTCCAATATGAAGAGGGTAAAATCGGTACATAGGACCCAACTGACCTATTGTGGTCGTGGCTTGGGATTTAAAATTGAGATATTTCTTCAAAATTTCTCGAGGCCGAAAAGATTGAAAAATACATATTTCTCGTGGTGAGGACAATCTTATTTTTCACCATCGCCCAATATTTGACATTAAGATAGATAAATAAAAAATAAAATATATTTAAAAAAAAAAGTTGACATTAAGAGAGATTAAGTACAAAAGAAAATATTTCTTTTTAAAGTAATAAGTTAGTAATATTTTCAGATAGTGTCGAGGAAAATATTTATCATGTCAGCAGGCCAAGTATTTTTCAAGTATTTTCCGCCAAGATTTACCGCGCCTCGAGTGTATTCATGCGCGTGTATTTAGCGAAGTGGGCTTCGTTTACCAAATTGGGTTTTCGCCGTTTAACACAGATTTTGACTGATCATCTTGCTCTCTTTCTAGTTTCTACTTTGCGAGGGTTTCTCGCCCATGGCGTCCTCCGCTTCTTCTTCGGCTCATGGCGCTTCCAAGTTCCTCGGCGGCCTTCCTTCCCGTGGCTACTTTTCGTCCACCGTCCCCTCCTCAAATCCGGTAATGCTTTCTCTCAAATCTCATATTGCTATTTGAACTCTTGCTCTTCTGTATTCTGTCCCGTTATGAATTTGTATTTTTATAGAGTGGTTAAGCGTTCGAGTTAGTGTCTCTTCCCATCATCGGTACATTACTTGGAAAATTTTCACTTAGATAAGAATTATGTACAGTCTAATCAATCAGCTCGAATTCATTATGACCTGAAGCCGCGGAAATTGTTCTCTCAATTTTGTTCATTATAATGCATTGGAGTCTGCTCACACATTTAAGAGGGAGTTGAATCCATCCTGCGTTTTAAAATGTTAAAGTATGCTTTGAGCTTCCATCGTGCCCTCATGTTTTAGGCTTCCAAGTCATCAGCGATCAAGGACTGGTTGTTTACAGGGATAAGAACTTATAAGTTGTGACATAGAGGTATAATTTTGAGTTTTCTTTTAGCTAGTTATTTGCCAGGATACTGTCCTTATTTCACATCTATTACTTTTAGATTTCGTTAGATCGGGTGATCTGAGTATTTGAGTTCGCTATCTCTACAGTCTTAACTCTTAATAATAGGATGTAAGTGAACCATGATGGGATGACCTAGTAGTCAATAAGGGCCAATGTAAATAGCAAAAGACTTAGAAGGAATGAGTTTAAACCATAACGGTCATCTATCTAGGATTTAATATCCTACGGATTTCCTTGTCAACAAAATGTGGTAGGGTCAGGTAGCTGGCTCGTGATTAGTTGAGGTGCGCGTAAGTTGGTTCGGACATAAGGATATAAAAAATAATAATAATAATAGGATGTGCGTGTGTTATTATGTTGGAAGATTTATAGCCCCATTATAATGTAAAGGTATTATTTTTGTGGTATCATTGCCTAGTTCTTTAACCCTTGGGGAGGCACTTCTAGTCAGTTGTGCTTACATATTGTGGTTTTTAGTCCCCATTGAAACAATGTTTTTTACTATGTTCGTGCAGGGAAGTATGCGAGTCTATATCTGTCTTCATGATACCTCACCACCAGGTCATATTTTATTTCTCTAATTGTTATTTTTACTTATCATATAGCAACAATTTAAGCATTAGACTATTGACGTATCATAAAGCACCAACTTAACGCAAGATTATTGACATATCATAAAGCACCAATTTAAGTGCGTTAGACTGTAGACTATGCACTTTAAGAACCATTATTCACCAGACATTTGATTTTGCATGAAACCTATGAAGAAAGCAAAAATGATAATTATAGTGCTTGCTGTGCAACTCTACGAACTTTGGTTCCAAATGCTTGTTTTGCACAGTTATGGTTGCTGATTTGTCAAATTACATAATTTATGAATGTACACGTAGAAATCAACAAATAGCTGTGGACATAACTGTCACACTGTCAGGAATGAAATCTGAGATTCATCTTGAAGCTTAATTATACCGAATAGTTATTGCCAATGCTGCTCTATTTACTTTTTGCAAAGAGCCGACAATCTCACGGTCTGAAACGCATGTCAGAAACTGGAACTATTTTTCACAAATACACTAAGCACTGTATGTTCTATTTTCCGAGTTACCTATAATGACTACAACAAAAGTTGACAAACCTTCAATCCATTTTGTACCCAGAGGATCAAGACATAAAGACAAATCAGCAGAATATACTTATTAGATCTTTAATGCTTAAAAATTCCAGTTCAAAGGATGGAAAGGGAGTAGCTGCAGCTGACTCCTCCCGGAAGAGGTACTGTTGTAACTTATCTAAGTAAATCTGTACTGTATTTTTAAGTTTCTAGTTGGTCAGTTTTTGTTGAAACTGTCATATTTTGCTGCATTTCTCTTATGTGGCATTGGAAGCAAACAATAGATTGTCGTTTTTCTTATAATATGTTGCTCATAGCATACATCACTGTATTCTTTGTTTGAACACATAATTTCGGTTTTGGCATCTACGTAACAATGAGTCTTGGTTATGCTACCCTTATCTTTCCAGGGCTGGTGAAAAAATTTCAGATAGCAGAGCGAAGAGGGCCAGCGCACAAGTATGTTCAACCAAAGGTACGTTCTGGTCGATCATGTATACAGAAAGTAACCATTGACACATTATTCACTGCTAATATTCTTCACAAGAGTTAACTAAATCCTGCCTTTGTTTCTCTTTGAATGTCTGTGCAAAGATTAATGTAGCCTAGTCATTCTTTGCAAGAGTTTTATCGGTAGGACCTTTCATTGTTAGGATCAGTTTGTCGTGGTGCTTTTGTTTTTTTTTTAAATATATTTTCTCATTTAATCCATTTATTTTTGAGGCATTAAATTTATCAGGTGCTTTTCTAGACTCCTAAATTTATTGTGTATATTGAGGAAAAAGAAGATGTGACCAATATGCTGACTCCTCAAGAGTGAAAGGAAGAACATAAAATCATTACTGTCTCCAAAAAAAACCCAGCATATCATACTTCTTTAGTGATTAACGTCTACAAATCTGTCCAACGGTCAATATTAGTTATTAAGATATATTTGAAAATTTAAATCACAAAGGCCATTCAGGGGAAGATCTATTTCGACTTTCTTTATCTAGTAAATCATTATAGAGTTTCTTTAGAATTTTGTTCCAAATCTGACAATTATGGTGGCTAATATCGTCATGCATCCAGGAGCATCAAACAGTGAAGTACCGAGTAAGCATCTCTATAATTTGACTGTAGAGAGGCTGCGTGCCCTTCTCAAGGCCAGAGGCCTTTCGCCCAAAGGAAAGAAGGCAAGTATATGTTATCGTAATCAGATCTGTAGTAGCTGACTGATTGAGGCTTATTTATCATGGTTTGAGATGAATGTCATTGCTTTGTCTATAATTGCCTTTTCTTACTCATCGATCGACTTGGTGCAGGACGAGCTGATTTCCCGCCTGAGAAGCTCCGATGTTTAAGCGACCACTATGAGAGTGAAACATCTGTACTCTGCATGAGCAGGCAAACCAAAACAAGGAAGTTGTGGATTACCGTTTCCTCAACATGTAGTTAGAAGTAAATTATACTTGAACCGAAAGTTAGCCATGGGTATCTGTATTCATTTTGATGATGGGAAAACATTCATAGTTAAATTATAGAGATAAAATTGGAAAGTTCATTTTTCTTCCAAAATTGCTGAGATTCTTCTGTACAAGACGTGATCATGAGAATGTTCCAACATCTCATTCATAGAAACTAAGACGATGCTCGAGTTGAGTTTCGAGGTCTTTTACCATCTTTTAGCATCTGGGCGTCATTTGACTATTTTATGAGAAAGTGTTCCATTCATTTTATGAAAGTTTGTTACATGTTTTTGAGGGAGTCAAAATACAAGTACATATTGAAGAGCTCGAGTACACAGAATATGAACAGCCAAAAATCCTACTAATTTTGAAAAGGTGTCTAATTGGAACGCTGGCAAAGTTGAATCTACCAAAATATCATTGCCACACTACGACTTCATCAATGACCCAACAAACGAAAGCCAGAATGAAAAAGGAACGCCGTTTTGTGGGCAAGTCGACAAGTGTGGTGGGAGAGAGTAAATTATTGAACCCAAACGCCATCGTGCACTCGGGGAAGAACATGATACATAAAATACAGAAGAAATCGAAATACGCCATGGCCTTGGACGACAAGTCGTTTTCAAGCAAACGGTATACTGTAGATGATGATTGGCAATAAGAAAGAAGGTCCCAGTGTCAGTGACTTGACTGACCAAAATGAAAGTGGCTTTGGTCGACCACCGTCATTGTCTGTCGCCGTCGACATGTCGTCCAAATTTCCGCCACTGTGCACTGCCACGCCAAATCAAATTTAGATAAAGCTTCGAACGAGCGGTTCCGACCGCTGGGGGGCTCCACTTCTGGACGGTGAGATTATATAGACCAGAAAAAAATATAAAATAAATAAATTCATTGGGTCACAATACAGCCACGCCTATTCAAATAATCACTATCTAATATCTACTGCATTTGGAGTTGGTCTGATTTTGTATAATAATAATAATATTTTTCTAATATTTTTGAACTTTTAAATTGAGATTTAGGATACTGTGACTTTTCTATGTCATTTGGGATAATTGTTTTTCTCTATAGTTTCTATTTGTGGTGTGTTGTTTATTTTTAATGCAACGTTTCTTTATTAGAGAAAAAAAAGAAAGAGATTTAGGCATCTTGGAGTCTATTATCCGTTTTAATTTTCATAATTGGGCAAGGAGATCACTCGGATGGGTTGAACTCCACTACTCTCTCTCTCTCTCTCTACACAAAACGACATCGTTGGAGTCTTCCAAGTTTCTCTCTCACGTGCTCTTATATGTTAGCCTCTTATGTTTTGCGGCGCCTCCTTATTCATAACAGACAACAGGCCGACTACTTGAAAATCGAAACGCAGGCTTATCAATCGACGTTTATCTGTGACGGTGGGGACTGGTGGGTGCGTTTAGAAATTAAACTTATGGAATCTTCACAGAATTTGGAAAATCCAAGGCCTTTTTTTTATTTATTTATTTTTGTCAGCTTCATATTCTGCAATTTCTGCGTTTTATTTCTGCTGGGATGCGGCTCAACTTTGTTTTGGCATCAACTTTCTGATTACTTTGGCTAACCTTATTGACTAAGGCCTAATTGCCCCGCCGCTTAATTAACTCTCACTTCATTCCTAATTACTCTTTTGATTTATTTATTTTCTAGGCGGTTTAAGAAACGAAATAAGTGTTTTTAACTAATTAAACTTTATTTTTCAGATTTATTGCAAATAATTGAGTATTTTTGGCTTGGGTATTGTTTGTTATTAAAATACTTAAAAGGCACTTTTAATGGTGTGGCAGAACCCAACATAAAATGATTTGTTATGAAATATTGTCTTTACTGAAAATGTTTATAATCAAAGTACCTTTATCCTAAAATCACTTAAATTGAATTGAAGCCCTCCCAAATACAGCATTAAACATACTTCTAACAAGGTAGGTTAAAAAACATGAAAATCATTTGTCTTTACTAAAAATGCTTATAATATGATTATAAAATATTTTTGCTAAAATCACTCTCAAATATATTATTAAAAAATTACTTAACCATCTTGGATTGGTTCATTGTTCTAGATTGATCAAGGTATAATCAAAAGAATAGCATGATGACAACTACCTAAAAATTAATTTTTTATTTGTTTCTTTTGTAATTAAATTAAATATAGTAGGACCGAGTAGGAATAAAAAAAGATTCTCACAAAAAGTGCTTATAAATAAGTTTTGCCTTCATTAATTAATAGTTATTCTAAACTTTTTTTTTCTAGAGTAATTTCTAAATTCACTCTTACTCTGAAATTCTACCGTGTTTCCACATCTTTTCCCATGTTTTCATTCTTGAAATTGCAAAAACAAAAATGTAGAAATTAAGTTTGAATTTTTTAATTTTTTTTGAAACAGAAATTAAGTTTGAAATTGACATAGCTATACTCTGAGAATGAAAGAAGAGTATAGTCTTAAAATCCACTATTTTAACGTGTCAACACATTTTATTTAAAAAATAAGAGCGTGCTCACTGCTTTGTGCTTTGTCACATTTGACACGTAATTAAACTAATTGAAGGTATAAATTGGATTCATTTACCGACGCCAAGGGCATGTAAATTATTGTATATTTTTGTCTTTTCAGCCTCTTATTTTTATGTTGCATTATTTGGTAAAAAATAGTCGGTAAAGGCAAATTCTTTAATAGAAAAAAACCAAAGAGATATTGTGTTTGGCAATGTGAAGCCTTTCTTGCATCAGCATACATATAATGATATTATAGTCACTGTCAGTCATCTCTTTTTACTTAGTCACAGCACATTTCCCACGTGCCATAATTAATTTACATCTACTCTCTCTCTTCTCCTCCCTGTATTTATTTCTTTTCTTTGTCACACTATAATTTTTTTTAATTTAAATTCATCATTTCTAAAATTATATTTTAATGTGAAGGATCCCATTTCAAAAGAGACCTTACATAGATTTATAATATACATGAACTTCTTCTTTCATTATCAATTGATTTTGAGATGAAAACAATGAATATTGATATTTAATATTCGTAGTTTTTTTGAAATCAATAGGCCAATTTATGATAATTTTCATAATTAATAATATTCTTTTCAAAAGTATTTTCTCCATAAATCCTATATTTATCTTCACTGAAGGGAATCTTTATCAATATAAAGATTAAAAATGTATTTATGCTTAATCTAGCCTTAGACAATAATTTAATGGATTGATTAAACTATTTTTATCGAGAAAATATAGGAACAAGAGTTAGAGATGTTGAGCTGTGTTTTCTTACTTCAAGGATGGAATAGGGATTACATTTGTCTCATTTATTGACATATATGAATTTGACGTTTCGCGAATCTTTCTAAAATTGGAATTTTTAAATTTATGTTTACATAAAATAACATTAACTATAGACAAAATACATTACCTTCCCATCTCCCATCCCTTTCTACTTAAAGCCTGTTCACATGAGGAACACATGCTTTGAACCGACCCAATTATAAAGGGATGAAAAATATATGATTAAAAAACTATAGAACTAAACGATGATGTAATTAGCGAAAGAGAACAATGGAACGTAACTAAATAAGGAAAACATAGTAAGAGAATTAAATGTATAATCTTTAATCTTTAAAATATATCATATAACCATTCGATTAGATGTAACCAAACCCATAAAAAAATGCAGGCCTGAAAATCTTGTTGAGAAGTAAATTATGTATGTTTTTTTTTAACTTTTTAATTGAAAGTAGATACTTGAGAATCTATGGGTATGTGATAGATATATAGTGATCTATCTTAATTCTCTATTTTTATATTTATACTTTTTACTTAATGTAATGAAATGGAGGGCAACAAAAGAAAGACTAGGTCTTATTATTCCTACATGTTACTAAGACCCCTTTRATACTTACAAGAGTTTCTCTGCCTCTTTTATTTACTTGCGCTTAATGTTTTTTGATTATACTAGAAATCATATAATAACTTGTTATAATTCTATTTTTTGGATTGTTTCATCAATGGTATTTATGGAATCTCCATGAATAGGATCAAAGTATTTCTCTTTTCTTATTCTTAAAGCAAGTGCCCCTCAAATTATGCATGATTTTTTTTTAATAAAAAATTATGTAGGCTAAAATTTACAATCTTTTGTTTAAATGGATACCTTATCCAATCAAGTTAAATTTTGGTTAGCACAAATTATGCATGTAATTAAATTAAACAAATATTGACCATCAATACAACATAATCCATTTATATACTTATTTATAATTTAAAAATATGTTTTGACTTTTATCATATTATATTTGACCAAAACTTAATACATTAGATCAAATTGAACCGGTTCTACAAGAGTTAGCATATTAAAACAAAGTTGAAAAAATAAATTAGCTACACACTCTATATAATACGATTCTGAGAGATTGCAAAATTTTCCTTTTTTTTCTAAGAAAATAAGAACTTCATTAGAAACATTATTAAAGAGTTGTAATCGTTATATTGTTCTTGATATTATCCTACATTTGGTGAACTAGTTAAGAAGAGAAGTTTGACTACCACAAAAGTGATTCATGCGTAGAGATTCACCCGTAAGCACATGGGCCGTTTTTTCATTTGCTTCTGCACACTGCCAAAATAATGTAGAAAAGAGCTTGTCAAACTTCTAATATCTACTATCGATTTCATTTCCTCAATTCGTGTTGTCATTAATGAGATCGATATCGTCCAATAAATCTGACTCAAAGATCACTCGCGGAGACTTATTCTTTCGACCAGATGAATCGTTTCACAAAAAAGTATAAATACGAAAGTGCAAACCTTCCTCACCTGTTATAGTAATCTATTAATAATAATACGTTATCTACCGTCATATTTATTGTTTTGTTGGTGGTCACGGAAAAATAAGTCAAGAAATATACTTTTGAGGATACTTTACCATCATTTAAAGTCAAAATTGTTGGGAGTGATAATAAAAATTTCAATCATTCCCTTTCAAATTCCCTACTTGCTTATTTTCTTATTATCACTCTATCATTATTCCTAAAATCTTTCATATCATCACCCACGACTTAAAATTCCGATCTTATAATCACCACACACTGAAATAAACAAAAGGCAGAGACAGAGAAAATAAAGTAACCACGTTTTTAATTCATTTCTGAAGGGTTCGGACAATAACGTCTTTGTCCCATTATCAAAAAAGAAAAGAAAAAAAAAAAAAACTGCTCTTTCCAGTTTCCCGTACCAGTTTCTCGGTTCCCAATTTCCGCACGTGCTATTTCTTTACAGCTCATTCATCTTTCCCAATCCCCATTCCCCATTTCCCCACCCTATAAATACCAATCCCTCCTCCGCTTCTCTACTTCATCATCCACTTCCGAAACCAAATAAGAGAGAAAAAAAAAAAAATCTTTCCATTGAATAATAATTTCTTCCAATTGGCAAAATTACCATGCAACCCAATTTGGGCTTCGCCATGTCCCTCTTCTTCCTCCTCTCCCTCTCTCTCTGGACTTTCTTTTTCCTCTGTATCTGCATCTACAAATCGTACTGCTCCTCCGTCAACCGTTTTTCCCCTCCTTCGTACCCATTCATAGGCTGCCTCATCTCGTTCTTCAAAAACCGCCGCCGGCTCTTGGCCTGGTACACCGACCTCCTCTCCAGCTCCCCCACTCGGACCATTGTGGTCCACCGGCTCGGTTCTCGGCGGACCGTTGTGACCGCGAACCCGGCCAACGTGGAGTACATGCTGAAGACCAACTTCCTGAACTTCCCGAAGGGGCAGCCCTTCACCGACATACTCGGCGATCTACTCGGGTGCGGCATTTTCAATGTCGACGGCGAGTTGTGGTCCACCCAGCGGAAGCTGGCTAGCCACGAATTCTCCGCTAAGTCCCTTAGGGAATTTGTGGTTAAAGCGCTTGAAGAAGAAGTCCACTTCCGTTTGATCCCTTTGCTTGAGAATGCTGCCCGGACTAACGCCGTCTTGGATTTGCAAGATGTTTTGGGAAGACTCGCTTTTGACACCGTCTGTAAGGTTTGTCATCTTCTCTCACTCTTCATCTTCAAACCGTTTTGAGTTTAATTCAAATATATATATTGGTAAAAGTTTAGGATTCCTCATATATGTAGTAGAACTGGTCAACGTTTCAACTCTCTCCCAAATGAACTCAACTAATTGAAAGTCTATATAATAATAATAGTTCAATTTGACCATAAATAATAATTGTTGTTTGACTTTTTTTTTGTTGTTCAACACTAAATTTTTCACATGTATTAATTTCTTCTAAAAAGGGAAAATATATGTTTTTTTCCTCGTAAAAATTTAAACATCAAAAGTGTTATTTTAGTTCAATTTGTTAAAGTATTAATAACCTTTACTCTAAAGGGTAGGTTGAATCTAAATAATTGTATTCATTAACTAACGAAATGCTTTATTGGTTAGTATCCATCTTCATGTTGTCACACTATTAAAATTTTGAAACTATATTTTTGAAAAGCATAAAAAAAGAAATATTTTTTTTATACTATAGTAAGATAGATGTTGATTAATAAACACTCAATATTAATATTATTCTTTTAAGTGACAGGTTTGAAATTTGACTCCTCATTTCCTACTTTAATAATTTTTCTTTAAATAATTTAACTAATATAATAACAAGAGAAGATTTTGAATCTCCACCCACCCACTTGAATATGTACATTAATTTTGTCTATCCAAACATATATAATTCAACCAATCAAACCCTACCTGGAGATAAGATGACGAAATCTCGACCCACTTCATTAATATATATGTTATTAATTAATATTATATTGTTGTATTGTTTACAGGTGACACTGGGAAGTGACGAGCAATGCTTGGACATGTCGCGGGCAGTTCCAGGTCACGTGAAGGCCTTCGACACGGCGACGGAGGTGAGCGCCAAGCGGGCAGTGGCGCCGATTTTCCTGGCGTGGAAGGCCAAGCGGATCCTCAACGTCGGCTCCGAAAAGAAGCTCAAAGAAGCGGTTCACACGGTTCACACCTGGGTCTCCGACATCATCCGCAACAAAAAGCTGACCAGTAATAATAATAATAATAATACCCTCGAAAACGACAAATCTGGGGATTTGTTGTCTCGCCTCTTATCCGCGGGCCTTGGCGACGAAGAGGTCAGAGACATGGTGGTGAGCTTCATAATGGCGGGCCGCGACACCACCTCCGCCGCAATGACGTGGCTATTCTGGTTGCTCACCAAACACCGACACGTGGAGCAGACCATCGTGAAGGAAGTGAGTTCGTTGTCTAAAACGACGTCGCTTGGTTATGACTACGAAGACTTGAAGGAGATGAAGTTTCTGAAGGCGTGCCTCTGCGAGTCCATGCGGCTGTACCCGCCGGTGGCGTGGGACTCGAAGCACGCGGCGGCGCAGGACATTCTCCCGGACGGAACTCCGGTGAGGAAGGGGGACAGAGTCACGTACTTCCCGTACGGAATGGGGCGGATGGAGGAGCTGTGGGGGAAGGACCGGCTCGAGTTCAAACCGGAGCGGTGGTTCGAGAAGGGAGAGTTGAAAGCGGTGAACCCGTTCAAGTTCCCGGTTTTTCAAGCCGGTCCGAGGATGTGCTTGGGAAAGGAAATGGCGTTCATTCAGATGAAGTACGTGGTGGCCACGGTTTTGAAGCGGTTTGAATTGGTACCGGTTAGTGGAAACGTGCCGGTTTTTGTCCCTTTGTTGACAGCTCATATGGCTGGTGGATTACAGGTTTATGTTACAGAAAGGACAGCACAAAAGTCAAGCATTTGGTGAATCGCAAACACAACATTAAAATTAATGTATAAATAGTACCACCAGATCAAATTATATGTATGTTCAGGTCGGTTCGGTTCCATTCCATTATTTTTCCAGTTTAACGGCAAAAGTATTTCTTCTTCTACGATTCGGTCAACAAAGCGTGATATTGATGGAATTTGATGAACTCAAAAAAAAAAAAAAAACACATTAATTTTTTATGTTCCCCGTAATTAACTCTTTTGTCTTTGTCCTTAAATTAACAATATTTGTCTCAATACATCCATCTTGATTTTTTCGGATCTTCATATCTAAATATAAATTCCTAACATAGAACTTCAGTCGGCATTTGTAAGACTTGCATATGCACTTATAGTTTATTGAGTAGCTGAAGCTAAACCTAAATTTTATGAAAATACTTAGTTCCTTGATGTAACGAGAAAATCCTCCCCCTATTAAATATACAATTAGAAGAGAGAAAGAACAAAATATAAACTTTTTATAAAAATTAATGAGTCCTCAATTTTTCAACGGTGATGAGAACAAGATTTGATTCTCACCGTTAAAGAACCAAGTATTTTTCAAATATTTTATTTTAATCTCATTTGTATTAATGTCCTATTAAATTATTAACTTTGGAAAAAGAGTAAAGATATCTTTTCGTTTCTCCAGAGCAAGGAGTTTCAAATCCCCATCTACATGAAGAAAATTTTAGTATAAATATTAATTTAAATAACTATTATTAATTTTGTACTTTAAATTAAAATTTTAATCATTTTAGTTACATCTGGTTAAAAATATTAATCTGTCTCTGCAATGTCAATGGTTGAGACAATATTTTTTTCTCTCAACTTAAGAATATAAAACCAAAACTGCGAACTAGCGAACCGCGAAGCAAGTTCAGAAATATCTTAAAGAAATATATACTTAAATACAGTACAATTGAGCTGTATAAAGATTTGTATATGAACTGTGTCTTTCAATTATGCTGTAGGCAGATATCTACTTTCATTTAATTGCATCTTTGCAACCTGCAACGATTGTCTGGCAATTGAGACTAAAAAGGTATTGAAAACATGTCTCCGTATCTGTTCTTAAAGATTGTCTGTACAGATCATTTAAAATTATTATTTATTCAGATATCACGAACTTGTGATCAATAATTTCTGAATACACAGTAAACTCTTTGCTTATGAACCAACCCACACCATTTTATCAAACAACCAATCAAAATTTTCATCAATAGAGTTAATCCACAACTCTTTATGTTAATTAAGAAGGAAGGTAAAGTAGCCAATCTAGATGATTCATAAATACTCTTAATAAAAACTTTACACGCTACTCGTATATTGTCAATTCAAAGCATAGCTAAGTAGACAAGACATCAACTACTTTTCTTAAGGATAAAACTCCGATCCCCACCCGACAATTGTTGAATTAACAAAAAAAGAAACGCTTTACCAAGACAGGATATGAACTTGTACAGATACAAGTGGGAGCTCATTTTACATGCATAGCAAAGCAATGAGTTAAACGACA